AAGGGCCTGTGTGTTGCCAGCCCTTCTTTGCCCGGCCTGGCAGAGAGCTGGCGCTTCCCCAGCTTGGCTTCCGGCACAGTCCCCCTCCTCCTCCCTCTCTGGGCTCGCTCTCCTGGGGCATTGGCCACGGCTTGCCCCTTCTCCATGGCAACTATCGCCGTGGGACTCTCTGCTGCTCTTCAGGCGGGGAGGCTGCTCCGGCCCATCCGAGGCAGCCCGGTCTCCATTGTCTTTCTGGCACGCATGAGCACACACATGCACAAAGGGCCAGGTGTCGTCGTCTTTTGCACACATGAGCAGGTGCCCATATCTGCTCCGTGGACAGATGGACGGACGGACGTGGCTACGAGGGCACTTTCGCTCGCGTCTTTTTCTGTGCCGCTGTCTTAGCTCATTCACAGAACGTTATTGTCTTCCGCTGTGCAGGCCTCCTGATATCCCCCCACTGTTCCTTCTGTCTTTTTTTTCTTACCACAGAAAATCAGCTAAGTGAAGCACTGCTTGAGAGCCAGTGTGCTGTAGAGGCTAAGAGCGTGGGACTGGGTCTTGGGCAATCCAGGTTCTAGGCCCTGCTCGGCCATGAAGCCAACTGGGTGACTTTGGGCTGGGCGCAAACTCTTCTCCAAACCTCAGGGTTGTTGTTGTGCGGATAAGACTGAGAGGAGCGGGCGAAGAATGATCTAAGCCGCTTTGAGTTCAATGGAAGGAAAAGACATATAAATAATAATAAATTTAGGCTTCGGCGAATGGGGTGGCATAGAAATGTTTTAATAAATAAATAAATAAATAAATAAGGCCCTTCTCCGTCTCTGGTCCCTGTCATCAATGTCTCTTATATTATATGCCCACCAGTTGTGAGATTAGAAAAGCCTTCTCGACTTCACAGGTGGCTCGCTGAGCACAAAACACCCTCCCTCCTTTGTAAGTGGCACCGGAAGCACTGAGCCGGCTGCACTTGCAGGAGCAACCCAGAGGGGCAGTTCCAAGGTGTGGTGAGGGGAGGAGGCAGGTGGTACGATGCGAAGGTTCCTGGAGGCAGCTTGGCCCTTGGCCCGTGTGCTTCCGGATGTGACGGCATTCAGTCCCACATGGGATGCTCGTGCCCCTCCAAATTCACAGGGCTGTCCCTCAGACGCCGTTCTCTCAACAAGGACCCAATGAAGGTATCTGCACACAGAAATGCTTGGCCCAGAGGTACCCAGGGAGCTTCCTGGGGTCTCAGTCCTGAGTCTCAGTCCTGCTGGTGCCACACCGACTTTTCTTGGAACTGCTCTTCCTATACCAGCCGGGTAGACTGAATAATGTTGCCTCATTCTTGCCGAATGTGCACCTTTCAGCTGCAGAATGACAATATCTCCATGGAAGCAACCAGGGAAAGGGTGTCCTAGTCCAGCACCGTCACTGCTACACTGCCCTGAATGGTTCTTTTTGCTGAGAAGAGGAGAGAGCAGCGAGCAAGAGACAACTCGCTGGAGCATTGCCATCGAATGATGCAAAATTCCATATCTGAGGCAGAGAATTCACAGGCGAAGATCCATCTCTGGAACGGTGGTTGGGCACTCGGTTTGCGCCGGGTGCTGCAGTCCTTGAGGCCCAGGCTGGGTGTCTGGTGCGAGTCGCTTCGTCTCAGGCTGTGAAGTGCCCTGAAGCCCTGACTATATAAGGAGCTTCTGCTCCTCCGGGGCACATCCTCTCCCCCGCTCTGCACCCCACGGCCAGGCAGCTCTCTTCCTTTGCACTTGGGCTTGGAATGCTGCTTAAAATATAAATATATAGGGGCCCTTTCCTGTTATCAGGATGATAAGACATTCGAAGCATGCTTGTGCCAAGTTTTTAAAAATCAGTAGTTGGCCACAGAGGGAAGGAGACATGCAGACTCTCTTTGGCTGCATGGGCTGCTGCATTTGATCTGTTCTGGCCCCTTCCCCACTGCCCCTCCCCAGACCTATCATGGTCTCAACCGCAGCCGTGAGACAGGATAGCCGGGTTCAGTCAGGAAAGACTCCTTTGGCTTGGACCTCAGCCGTTTATGGAAAGATCGCCCAGATCACCCTGCAGCTACTTCCGAGAGCATTACGCTCCTGTGCGATGGTTCTCACTGCCAACTACAAAATCACATCCCAGGCACAGACACTTTTATAACCTTCCAATCGTGTACAGAGAGAGTGTTAGGTTTCCGGATAATGTTAACATAATAGCATCTTGATATTTTCATACGCAAAGCAATACTCTAAACTGATCAGAAATGCCCTGGACAATAGAATAGAAAATTTCCCTGATTGAGCCTTATTGACAAGTCAGTTCAGTGAATTCCTGGCACTTTGGACCAGCCTCTGTGTCTGCTTAAACATGCACATGTGTCTGATTGAGGATCCATCCAGGAAAACTGGGTTGACAACTACCCTGCCTCTGTTGAACTAGATGATTAAATGGGTCCATTCAGAAACAAATGGACACCTTTGTCTCAGCTCCCTGCAGCTGATGGGAATGCTGGTATTTCCCCACTGACAGTGTTAGTTTCTCAGTCCAGCTAAGAATTCCATCCTCTTAAAGGAACAGCAATGCTAAACAGTGGCTTGGAATTCTGCTGCTTTCTGAGAAAGGGGCGCAGGTTTGATTTTATAACACCAAGGCACATATAAGCAACCTTTTTCTACCAAGATTTATCTGGATTTCCCCAAACACACATGTTTGTGCACATTTGAATAACTCTTGGCTAGTTTTAGCGATGGAGCACATTTCTCTGTCCTCTGCATTCATTTTTTTAAATGTACACGCTCTTAATGTCTCATTTATAATGAAGCGTGTGAATTTTGTTAAGCTCTTCAGCTGGAACGGAATTAAGTTCTCACTGATCTTCAACAGAAGAGCCCATCATTGCGGCCTGTCTATCAGCAATGCTGATATTGGTGAGGCTTCACACCCGTTGCAGCTTTTATGCTGAGCTTTACGGGGGCTTTCCGTGGTCCTGAATAGACAAACCATAAAAGCTGTAACAAAGGAGGCACGCCATCGATGCAGCATCGCTTCTCCCTAGTGGGGCTAAGATGAATCCAGCCTCCGAACTGGGGCTGAATTAACAGGGATCTAAGTTCAGACTTTAGGGAACAAAGGACTTGCAGCCTGGAGTCTGGATGGACAACAGGCCTGTGTCACTTTTGCCCATTCTGAATGTGCAGAATGCTCGGTGGTCACGTGTTCAGAGCATCGTTGAGTTTATTCAAATACCATGGTGCAGAGAAGGAGCAGGAGGGCGGGTGAAGCAGCCCTTTTTCCAGGGACTGGCCAAGTGGCTCTGTGCAGGCCGTGGCTCCCGTGGGAAGGTTGATCTTGCGGGTGGCCAGGGGCAGGCGGGCGCCGGGAGGCATCGTGGGACGCGGGCTGCCCGTTCACCCCCTCGTCTCCCCGGGCAAAGCCAGGGCCTGGCTGGCTGCTTTGACCGAGTCTCTGTCTCCGTGCTGAGTGGGGCGTGGAAGGCCGTCCTTCTCCCAACGCAGGGAGAGGAGATGGGTGCAGGGGACCTTCTGATCTGCAGGGAAGACTCGTATACCAGTGGGGCCGCTCGTCCCTTGCTGCTTTGCTTTGCGCTGCTTTCTATGTCTACTAGAACCTGGATCTCTGGAATCCCCGTCCAGCACCTTTAACCACTACACCACACTGGCTCTTTTCAGCTTTACAGGCCCTGCTGTGGTGCTGAGCTCCATCTCCAACATAGGTTTGTCAGCATGGAGCACCATGGGCAACACCTATAAAGCTGAAAAGAAAAGCTGTCACGGCTAAGGAGCCCCAAGGGACACACCAGGCCCCACCTTCCATGGTGATGAGGGTACATGTCGTGATTCCACCGACTGATGCTATCCAGCCATGGGCCACCTGGGGGTGGGGGCGATTCATCTCCCCCCACCCACAACTACTCCTGCATCCCTTTACTAGGTAAAGACTTCCCAACTGCTTAGGAGCACTCAATGCAGCGGTGCTTAAGGACTTGATCCCAAGGATGGGGCTTGGGAGGGCTCATTGTGTTTACTCCCAAACTGTTTAGCTTCCACCCCTCTTAGACTATCCTGGGAACTGGATGGACACTTGATCTGATCTAGTAGAGCTAGTTTTATGCTCTCAGAGAAGGCAAAGCTGCTAGTCCTCATGGTTCTGTGCTACCTGCAACAACAGAGGCACTGTGCCTACGTGCACCCTTGCTCTTGCACGCTTGTCCAGCATGTGGGTTTTCTGCGGCCAGCTGGTATAATGAGAAAACTTTCTATGAAATGTCACTGGCCGGATGCCCTTGGGATCGGGGGCCAATGTTTTTCTATCCCCAGCACAGCAGAAAGTTTCAGCTGGCAGCCTGGCGAGCTTTTCTACCCAGAACAGCAACACTGCAGTCTTTTTCTTTGCATCAGGCAGCAAAATATTTTGGGCCAACCCTGGCATGGTAGTTGTTGGGTCGTTCTGTCTTGCATGGGCAGGCCCATCAGTGTCATCCAGGACGTGCTTGTGGCTGGTAAGAAAGGGTCTGGGACTGCTTCACCACTGGCACAGCGGCCTGAACTTTGGGCTTCTCCTTGTGCTTGAGTTGCAAGCATGGGGGGGGTCTGTCCTCCCCATTCTGGCCTTTGCTTCCAGTCTTTCCTGCGACTGCAAAGCGGAGCAGCATTAAGGAAAGCAGAAAGGCACTGCTCTTTTGGATGAGTTGGCTTCCGTTGCAACCTGGCGTGCCAAGTCATGGGACGGGCAGAATGCAGATCAGTGTTATTCTAATGTTGCATTTGTATTCCGCCTTTGCTCCTCCTGCTAGGAACCCAAGACAGGTTCGAAGCTTTTGCTCCTCTCCGTTTAATCCATGCCACAACAGCCCTGTAAGGGAGGTTAAGCTGAGAGTCTGAGGCTGGCCCAAAATTCACCCACTGCAGAACGGAGATTGGACCTCGTGAGCCCCAATCCAGCACTCTAACCGCTGCACCACATGGGCTTTCAGTAAAATTGAGAGAGAAAGGTCAAACTGAGCTTTTCAAACGTGTTTATTTGTAAAATGTGAATTTGGCCAATTTGGTGTGAGGTCATGCAGGGCCCACAGAAATGGCCGGGTGGCCACTCCTGGCCCGTGAGATCTTCATCTTCGTCGCTGCCTCGCAAAGGGGCCCGCAAAAGCTGGGTCGAACCATCCCGGCCCGCAGCTGCAGCGCTCCACGTGCTGTTTATTTCTTGGCCGCTTCTTCGGGCTTCTTGGCCTCTGCCGCAGGGATCTGGGCATGAGTCTCATAGGTGACCGGGATCTTGATCTCGGCGGATTGGATGGCAGGTTTGGGCAACGGGGCTTCCACGGTCAGCGTGCCATCAGGCGAAAGCGAGGAACGGACCACCGTTGGGTCAATGCCAGGAGGAAGCCTGGAGAGAGAAGCCAGACCATGGGAGGGCTACCCTTGCAGAAGCCACGCCCGGTTTCTGGTCGGGTTGCGAACTGTGGGCTAGCAGGCCATGGCTGGTTAGCGTAGCTGCGTTCAGGCAGTACCACAAGCCACGTTTCAACAACAACCCACAATTCAATGACAACCCACACCCAATCCACAATTCTGGGTTACTGTGGTGTCTAAGACCAGCCGCCAAGATCTAGGTGAGCCCCTTTTCAACAAATCTTTCAGGGTTTGTCTTAAGCAACTGGGCTGAATCGCATCAAGTTTTCTAGTGGATTGGGCCACTTTGAAACAGTGGAGCTGTTCACTGGAGTATGCTCTGCACAAGATGCGCAAACGTTAAGGGACTATTTGGTCCATAGGTTAAAACAAATACTATGGCATGTCATCTGAAGGTTTGCAATGGGCGATCCACCGTAAGTCAATAGAAACAGCTAAAACCATGCCTGAGAATGCAGACCTATGTACATCCGCTCCAGAGGCACAGCCATCCAGATTTGCAGGTTAAACAAGAAGGGTTGATTTAACATCCTGCATTAATTAGAAACTAGCATTAGTTGCATTTGGGGTCAATTTTGACCCCAAATGAAAATTCCCCAGGAATGAAAAAAAAGACTACATATGAAAAGCCTTGGTTCTGGCTGAAGTTTTCTCCCAGGAGTTTTCAATCAACTTAAAAATAGCTTTCCACTCTCATTTCAGCCTTTTCATCCTTCCTGAGGTCATGTAAAATGAGAAAATCTGCATTTGAAAACCTTTGACCCATTGACATTTTCTCTGCATAGCAATAGTTTGGCCTACTAAAAGAATAAAAGAACCTAGAAAAGTGTTCCTTGAATTGATTTTAATTCTATTTCCTGGAAGTTGTAGTTCAGAGTCATAGCTTTCAAAAGAGACTCTGATGATCTGGGTCAAACTTTCTTTTGTTCCTTCTTTGTGGCTGAATGTTTGGGGTATGAAAGTACTCCACACATCAATTCCTATGGAGTTTCTGGAGTACTTTTTCCCTGACGTGGCATGTTTTGGTAGACAGAAAAAAATGCATGCAAGGCAGGAAGTGGAACTCTGGGGACATACTAGACCAGGCGCTTGGTGACAATGCCCTTAAAAGACAGTCGGCTGGACAACGGATGTCTGAATTACAGTACAGAAAGTGAGCTGATGAAGTCCTCAGCATTCATTGTCTTACGTGTATTTCCTCGTGAAACACCTGGAAATGTAGCCATGCTCGTCCTGTCTTTCTTCATGTTTTCCTGGAAGAGGAAGGAAGGAGAGAAGGGACACTGTTACGGCCCGATCAGTGCTACTCCGAGGGACGAGAGAGAATTCAGGGAATTCTCTCGCATGGCATTTTGTTATGCCTGACTCCCCAGGATCCTGACATAATAGAAATATCTATCAGCTTTCTCAGGGCATTCAGGATAGGCATGACTCCTCTGGGCTCCAGATAGGCCAAACACTAGAATAATCAAACTGTCTCAGGGTATGCATGATAGGCTTAGCTCTCCTAAGCTCTAGCCCATTCAAATGTCTAGTAACTGCCTCAGAGAATTCCCCTCAGAAAGTGGAAAGAGCTTACCTACACCGTAATGGACAAAGATTGCTTAGAAGGTGTAAATTAAAAGCTAAAACTTACTGCTAACGAAATCTGCTTTTGTATATCGCTTGCTTAACTGCTGCTATGTGATTCTGTAACTCCCCATTGTCACCATTGTTCTGATTTCTGCCAAAAACTGATTGTATTGTTTACCATTTACTGAAAACTCACTGTGAAGCTATAAAAACCTTCATTCCAACTCCATTCGAGGCCGCATTCCTCTATGAATGTGGTCCCTGCCGCAGGAATAAACCTCCTCTTTATTTTACCATCCGGTCTCTGGTCTCATCTGTAACACCGCGGGTTACAACAATTTGAGCACTGACTTTCCAGGAGGAGAATTCCCAGAACTGGAGAAGCAGCCGTTGGGCACAGCTTTGGGCCCCTTCAGCCCTTTGCCATGGTTGCCCTCTGCATGCACGGCATGACACATGAGCAGAGAAGAGCACTCGAGAAGAGCACATGAGCACTCATGGTGGTAAATGCGAGAGGCATTATGAGCACCATGGGGGGGGGGGGGGGCTCCAGGAAGATCCCTTCTCCCCTGCTGCTCCGAGGCATGCCCAGCTGTTCTGCTATATTGACTGGGTTCAGGCAACAAGAGCATAGGCTGAGTGTGGGTTGTCACTGGGCCAGGTCATGCCAGAACCCGGCTGCTCGAAAAAGCCAAGGCTAAGCACCCGTGGCTTGTTGCTGAGTTGCGAGCCCTGGGTTGTTCACGGGGAACAAACCCTGGTTGTTATCATGGCTGGGTTCAGATGACCTGATAGCCCACATTCAACCCATATTCAGCCCTTGTCAGAACCCAGCCAGTGCAGCTCGCCCCAGACTGATAGGTTCAACTTTGAAACTTTTTGCAAAGGGGGTGTTGCAGTTGTCTAAGTCTGAGGTCTCCAACGTGGCGCTCATGGACACTTCTCTTGCTGCCCACCAAGTTCTCTCCTCCTCTTGACTTTAATTGTAAGGATTTTTTGGTTGTTTGTTTCTTTAATTAAACTATAGGGAGGCTGGGATGCTCCACCCAGGGCCAACTTTATTTGGGTTCAAAAGAGGAGTTTTCTGCTTGTGAGCTCAGCTCTCACTGTGCCTTGAATTGAGTTTCTTGGCCAAGTTGCTTTTCTTTCAGCTTCCACTGTTTGCCTTCTGGAAACTCCTTGTTTCACGAGCCAGCAGGGCGCACCACAGTCGCCCCTTTGTAAGTGGGCAAGCCCTGCACCCATCCAAGAGCCATGGCTGAGCAAAGCAGGGGACGAACGTAGCAAGGTCTCTCCCAAGTTGGGAAGGGGGCTTCGTGTGGAGAGGGGGGCACTGGCAAAGCAGTTTGCCCTGGATTACATGCCTCAGCGGCGTTACTGAGCAGCGCGATGATGAGCAAGACGCGGACCATGTACAAGATTGCCTTTTTTGTAACCATACCAGTTGCGCAAAGGTCAGGATCCTGTTTTCTGTGCGTGCAAATGGCAGAACACCCCGAAAGAGCACACATGTTGACACCAGGGGGAAATAATTCAGTCCTGCCCTTTGCTGCTCACCAGAATGGAAATGCTGCAGAACCTTGTTCAGCTGAAATGGGTCCGAATGCCAGCATCGTGTGCCCCTGTTTTAAAGGCACCTTGATGAAGCGGGTTGCCAGGGCTGAGAAGGGACCTGATTTCGGCTGGAGCTGGGGGTCAGACTAGATGGCCCAGGAGACCCCCTCTGACTCGTGCTGTTTCTATGTTTTGCTAGATCTTGCTTCTTTTTAGGCGGAGAAGCATGCCAGAGCAGTGGTTTTGCTGGTTAGTTGGCAACATTCATCACTTGGGCTGTTATTTTTTATGTCTCTGTGTGTGGTGATGACAGCTCAGTTATTTATAGAAATTTAGCACCTCCGTTCTCCTCCCTTTTCTTCAGCCATGCTTTCTTCAGCTCCCACCCTGCCCTGCCTGCCACACATTAATCTATATATGAGCGTGATACACTCCTTAATATTTCAGATAATGATGAATTGTGGGGGAGGGGGAGCCACCACGGCTGCCAGTGGTGCGGCATAAACAGAGGCCGTACATGGGAAAGGTTCCTTTCTCCACCATCAGATCTCTCCAGAAGGGCAAGGAAATGGAGCGCAAGATAAACCCTCGATGACCTGGCCCGGAGTCCTGTGGCATCCTGAAGACTGCCTGATGAATAGCTGGATAAGGTCACACATTTGTCAGTCCTGACAGAGCGACAGGATTCTTCAGTGGCTCAGCCTGCCGCAAACGTAACATGGCGACCCCTCCAGAAAAGGCATAAATATCCCTCCATCGGCAATGATGCATCATATTTTGGAGAGGGGAGTGGAGAAAGGTTGGGGAAGAAAGTGGTAGAACCCAGTACCTTGCAGAATGGGAACATTCAGGGCTTTGGCACAGGGCTCCAGCTGGCTGTGATTTGGGAAGTCTCTGAACTTGCTGCGTCACCTAATTGGCACCTGACTGATTGCCTCATTTTTAATCAGACATCCATCATGGGTTGTGGGACAGGGCTACTTTGGAGCTGTGTGGGCTTCTTCGTCCGCCCCCTTGCACCACAAACATCTTTGCAATTAGCTCATTGCACTGGAGAGAGACATCAGAGCAAACCTGCTTGCACTGTGTTTGAAACTCTAAAATCAAACGGGATGAGTTTAAGAAGAAGAATAAGAAGAGAAAAGTGTCCAGTACTGAACAGAGACTGTTCAGATCAGTCAGTATCTATGTTGAGGCTTCGCTACTCCCAACACACAGGTAAAATTTGATTTTCAAAACTGAATGAATTGTTCACCTGGTTGAATGATGACTGAGCAATGAAAAATTCTGAAACTGACCACTAGTCCTAGAAAGAATGAAGCCTCCAAGGTCGCAGGCAGTCTATCCTAACAAGGACATGCAGTCAGGCAGTGAGCTTCTGCAGAGCATCCAAGCACTGTTGGAGACAGTGTGCAATGAAGCTGCCTTTGTGTTCAGCAAGGCCTTTTATCTCCATTTCCTCAAGCAACTAAAAAGGTCTTAAATGGACAGTGTCATGGAGCATCACCTGATATTATGGGGTGATGGAGAGGAAACAGACAAGCAAAATTTGGGGGGATTCATTTGGAAGTGGAGGCACTTGGGCCCCAACACAGCTAAAAATCTAGTGCTGAATTTGCTTCATTACTCTTCCGTCTCAATCTCCTTTCCTTTTGTGCTGACTCTAAGCCTGAGATTACAACTGTCTATTTCCTTACCTTTACAGCCACCTTTGCAGTATATGACCTGAGGGTGAGGAATTTATGTTTGACTCCCCTGTCATGGTCAGATCACCTCCTGGTGAGGTTTGTGCTCGAGAGCGGCCTCTCCCTCTATAAGAGTGCGGACCCGATTGTATGGGCCCGCCCCCGGATCCGGATGGATTCCTGAAGGCCCTGGGGGAGTTTCCGGCTGACAAGACTGGTGCTCCTGTCGAGGCTCTGGTCGAACTGTGGAACGGAGAGATGACCAGGGCTGTGGACACGATCGCTCCCAAGCGTCCTCTCCCACCGGGAAGAGTCCGCTCTTCCCCTTGGTATACTCCTGAATTGAGGGCGATGAAGCGGGTTGGGAGACAACTGGAGCGTAGGTGGAGGAAATCACAGGATGAATCTGACCGAACACACTTGAGAGCCCACTATCGGGCCTATGCTGTGGCGGTGAAGGTGGCAAAAAAGAAGTTTTTTTCCGCTTCCATTGCCTCCTCACAATGCCGCCCGGCGGAGCTTTTTCGAGTGGTGCAAGGCCTGGTTCGCCCGGGTCCTAAGGAAGATCCGATGCCACCCTCAAAGGCCCATTGTGACGACTTTGCCAGGCATTTCAGGGAGAAAATCGCTCAGATTCGTCACGAGCTGGACTCCACTAATGAATCAGAGGTTTCTGGGGAGACGCCAATGCTACCGTCTGGTCCAAAATTATTGGAGGAATTTCAATTATTGCGGCCCAATGATGTGGATAAGGTGCTTGGACGAGTACGTCCCACCACTTGCCTATTGGATCCTTGCCCGTCTTGGTTAATAAATAACTCCAAGCATGGGATTGGGACCTGGATCTTGGAAGTGGTTAACGCTTCTCTGAGGGAGGGTCGAGTGCCTGCCCCTTTAAAGGAGGCGGTAATACGACCGGTCCTGAAGAAAGCGTCACTGGATCCAGAGATGGCCACTAACTATAGACCTGTGGCCAACATCCCATTTCTGGGCAAGGTGTTGGAGCGACTGGTGGTGGGACAACTCCAAGCACTCTTGGATGAAACTGATTATCTGGATCCTTTTCAGTCCGGCTTCAGACCCGGGTACGGTACTGAATCTGCCTTGGTTGCCCTGTACAATGACCTGTGCAGGGAGAAGGACAGGGGGAGTGCATCCCTGTTGGTTCTTCTGGACCTCTCAGCGGCTTTCGATACCATCGACCATGGTATCCTTCTGGATAGGCTAGCGGGATTGGGGGTCGGAGGCACTGCTTTGCAGTGGTTCCGCTCCTATCTCAATGGTCGATTCCAGAAGGTAGTGCTGGGGGACTATGTCTCTGCACCATGGCAGCTATGCCATGGAGTACCACAGGGCTCCATTCTATCCCCTTTGCTATTTAACATCTATATGAAACTGCTGGGAGAGGTCATCAGGAGGTGTGGGCTGCGGCATCATCAATACGCTGATGATACCCAGCTCTGCCTCTCGTTTTCCACTAATCCAGGTGAGGCAGTGGCTGTGCTGAACCGGTGCTTGGCCGAGGTAATGGAATGGATGAGGGCCAATAAACTGAAACTCAATCCAGACAAGATCGGGCTTCGGAGAGGGTGGATTTGACCTGGTCCTGAATGGTGCAACACTCCCTCTTAGGGATAAGGTCCGCAGCTTGGGAGTGCTCCTCGACCTGGAGCTTTCTTTGGAAGCTCAGGTGACAGTGGTGGCGAGGAGCGCCTTCCTTCAGCTTCGGCTGATTAATCAGCTACGCCCCTACCTGGAGTACGACTGCCTGGCGACGGTGACACACACACTGGTGACTTCCCGCCTAGACTTCTGTAACGTGCTTTACGTGGGGCTTCCCCTGAAGACGGTCCGAACACTTCAATTGGTGCAAAATAGAGCTGCCAGGTTGCTGACGGGGACGGGGCGTTATGCTCACATGACTCCAGTCCTCCGTCAGCTTCACTGGCTTCCCATTGAAGCCCGGGCCAATTCAAGGTGTTGGTTATGACCTATAAAGCCCTAAACGGCTTGGGTCCTGGCTACCTGAACGAGCGCTTACGTCCATATATGCCCGACCGCCCTTTGAGATCTGCGGGAGAGGCCCTTCTCCGGGAACCCTCCATGAAAGAGATTAGGAGAGTAAGTACTCGGAGGAGGGCTTTCTCTGCGGTGGCGCCCAACCTATGGAATTCACTCCCCAAAGAGGTCCGCCTGGCACCGTCATTACTGGTTTTTCGGCGCCAGGTAAAGACCTTTTTATTTAAACGTCATTTTAATTGTTAAAATATATGATCTGGCCAGGGCAACTTCTTCTTCCTTCTCTTTTCTCCTCCTATCTTCTTTATTTACTTATTTTATACTGTTAATTTTAATTTTATATTATTATGTTTGTACCTCAGTTATTTTTGTATTTTTGTATTTAGTGGTAATTTATTATGTTCTATTGTATTTCAATGTATTTTATTGTGTTGTAAGCCGCCCCGAGGCTTCGGCAAGGGGCGGCATAGAAATGTTATAATAATAATAATAATAATAATAATAATAATAATAATAATAATATAGCAAGAAATATCCTGTTCTCAAGGGATGGTGCTTACCGCTAGGGATGGGCGAATCTCTGTACATCATTATGAGGGTGTTATGCTAATGAAATGGGAAATGATGAGGGTTTGGAAATGCTGCCCTGTGAGGAGGGACTGGGGGAACTGGGCCTGTTCAGCCTTGAGAAGAGAAGGCTGGGCGAGGGGGGCATGATCTCCCTCTAGAAGGACCTCAAAGGCTGTCACAAGGAGGAAGGTCGGGATCTCCTCTTGCTGATGCCAGAGTGCAGGACACGGAGCAATCAATTCCAGCTGCGGCAACCCAGATTCAGGCTGGGCATCAGGAGAGGCTTCCTCACAGTCAGAGCAACACGATGGTGGAACCAGCTGCCCAGAGAGGTGGGGGGCTCTCCCACACTGGAGGCATCCAAAAAGAAACTGGGCAGCCACCTGAGTGGGATGGTGTGACTTGGTGTCCTGCAACAGCAGGGGGCTGGACTTGATGGCCTTCATGGTCCCTTCCAATTCTACTATTCCATGATTCAATGAAATAAATAAATAAACTGTTCCCTTTTCTTTCATTTTCTCATTTTCCTGATCTTAAAATTGTTTTCTCCTGAACTTTGATAATTTTCCAGTCTCAAGTTGGTTCATCTTGAAATCATAGGATTTAATTTTTTAAACTAATTTACATTAAAATTGGTAATTGATATGAAAATTTAATTTAATTTACAAGAAAATCTGTAAGCTTTTTTGTATACATTTCTTCTAATAAACCACCCAGAGTGCTTTGGCTAAGGCACAGTATAGAAATGAAAATAATGATAATGCACATTTTCAAGCAATGTTCCCAATACAATGTATTTTGGAACGTTACCTTCACTCATGTGTGTATTTTTGTGTGTGCTCCCTGTATCACTTTTGCACTGGTGAATTTGGAGGCGTGTGGTTTTGGAAGGATAACCAAGTTTCAGTTCACAGGTCAGTGAGGTGAACAACCTTTTTGGTCCCTTTGGGAAATTTCAGAACCCGCATTGGACACTGCCACAATATGGCTTCCATGGGAGGTGTAGCCAGTCTCTTGCCCAAAAAACAAAACATAGAAACGGAGTGGGCCATCTAAGCATGAGGCAGAGCTGGGCTTTGACCCCAACGCCCTAAAACCAGAGGTCCCCAACCTTCTGAGCCTGGTGCATCTTTATTCTCTTGCAAGGAAAAAAGCGGGATACATTAAACAGACAGGCAGAGAGATGCTCCATTGTTCTGACCCAGTAAGGAATTCTTTTGATTGCAGCTGTCCACTGCACACTGATGCCCATGTCATCCGTTGATGCCCATTCAAGGTGCATCAATGCACAATGCCCCTGCACATTCACCTGTCGGCCCATGGCGTGGGCACCCCTGGTTCCAAAAGCACTCTTTTGAACCCGAGCAAAGATGGCATGGCTGGGGTGGGGTGTGGAGCAGAAGGCTCCTTTGCAGCAAGCCTGCTTCCTAGTTTAATTAAAGAGCCCCCCAAGTTCAAGGAATAGAAACCCCTGGCACAAGCAGCCACGGGGGGTTTTGAGCCCCTGCCTTGGTGCAGCCCCTGGAGACAACCTCCTTCTCATTCCTGCCCCCCTCCCAGCAGCCGGCTCCTTCCTTCTCAGGACCACTTTCCCATCTGGGTCAGCCTCTCCGTCTGGGTCAGCCCCCACAGAAACTCTCACAGGCACAGACATGCATGCAGGCACCCCGCACATCCGGGAGACTCGCGGGGGCAGGAAAGGGTTTGGGGTGCTGGTCTTTGCCAGCCCCACCTAGCCTCCCTTGGGTGTATCGGTTCAAAGGGGCAGAGCTGGGTGCCCACGCCTTCCCGCCCCCACCTACCGGTGATCTCCACCACGCCGTCCTTGGTCTTCACCACCAGCTCCTCAGGGGCAAAGTGGTTGACGTCCAGTGCCACTTTCCAGCTCTCGGATGTCTGCCGGATCTCAGAGATGCCGCTGCTGAGCTGGCGGCTCAGTGCTCGGCTGTAGGCCGGGTTGGCGGCTGGCGACGCGGCGACGGGGACGGGGACTGGGCTGGTCACCACGGGCTCAGGGCTGGTGCTGAGCATGGGGCGCACATAGCCCGGCCAGCTGGTGGTCCCTGCCGGCCACTTGTACCAGTCCTCAGGGATAAGGGGCATCCCGAAAGACTGGTCGAAAAGCCGGCTGCCCCGGTACCAGTCCCGGAACGGGTCCCAGCTGGGGTTGCGGAGGAAAGTGAAGGGAACTTGGCGTTCCGACATGCTCAGCCCCGGCGCCTCCGTCCAGCCACTGTCTGCACAGAGCAACTAGCAGCAGCTGGCCCTTATCAGCGAACAAATGTCTATTTTTGGACAAGAATGCCAGATTTCTATTAATGGAAATTACGCTTGGCTGGCGGAACCCGATGACTATGGTCCAGGTCTCGGGGGCATTCTCTTTTGCGTTTGTCATCCCCCTCCCGGGCGGCCTTCTGGGGGTCAGGAGAAGGGGGTCAAGAACGGGAGCGGGTGGAAATAGAGAATGAGTCTCACGGGACTGAAACCAGGGCCGGATTTTGAGCTCAGCAGCCTGAAAATAAATTCAGGACGACTTGAGGATGAAACTTATTTTGGGAGCCTTTCCCGAATGGAGAAAGATCTCTTCCCCTTTCCTGGCCTATAATCCCCAAACTTGGGAGCCTCCATGTGTGAATGGCTGGAGCGCTCTTTGATGCAGCTGGTGGCTTATTGGCTTAACTAGTCTAGCTGACTTTTCAGCATGCAAAGCACCAGGCAACTTGAATCCCATTAAACGAGTAAAGCCAAGCAGTGTGCCTGCTTCAGCGCTATCAAGCGAACAGTAGGATCAAAAGTATCCATTTCCCCCTTGCTTTGGGGAGAGAGCCAACTGAGCAGCTCATGGAAAAGCATTCTGAGCTAGAGGCCACCACCAAAAAGACCCTGCTTCTTGCTGAAATCGAGCTGGCTTCCTGCTACGGCAGAGCTTGGATCAGGGGTGCATTACCAGATCGTAAACTCTGCGTATCTCTAGGATATCCAGTTCCAGACCACACGGGCTAAAGATCAGCTCCTCGATTTGGGTTCAAAACCCCCCAGGCAAGCGACAGAGTTGGGTCATACACAGGTGCAGTACGTTCACACAGAAATAAGGAATGTTTTTTTCTTTTCTGGGACAGACTTCGTAAACCAGGCTCCCACTCGGTGTTTGGGCTGTCCTTCCCAGCAGTTGATCTTTGGTCATGCTGGCTGGGGATGGTAGGAGCTGAAGTCTGAAACCTCCAAAGAACATCAGGTTGGGGATCCTACTCTAGAGTAATAGCCTTCCTTTGGCAAAGTGAACAGCACTGCGCACTCTTTGGCCCACCAGGTGCGAGGCCCTGCCTAGCATACAGCCAGATTTGCGGCTCTTCAGTATAAATTAGCGTATAGGATCTCAGCAAAATGAGTCCTTTTCTTTGAATGGGGGCTGTTTCCTCTGCTCTCTCAGTCTGTCAGCATCCACTCCACCGCGGGCCAAGATTTAGGATGTTGGCAAGACCCCAAACGCATTCCCATGAGTCCTGATTCTATGTGTTCTGCTTTTTTAGAGTCAACAGACACACAGACCAGTTTTTTGCATGGGGGGGGAATTTCTGCAGCCCCCCCCCCCCGGCTCTTGCACATTAGCCCTGGCTCTCCTTAACAGACGTGCATTAGTCCCTATGCGCATTAGCATGAATGCAAATTAGCATGAGCAGAACGAAATTCTGGTTCTCAACGTTCTGATGATGCCACTGGGCCGAGTCCTGCTTCCAGAGGGCCTGCGGCAGCCTTCACCCACCTGCTGCCTACCTGGATGTTCTGCTCTCTGTTTTCCATCAGCTCTAGCCACCATGGCCAATGGTCAGGGGTGATGGGAGCTGTAGTCCCAAACAGCCAGAGAAAGTTGGGAACAACCAGTCCATTGCAACAAAGAGGGTTGCAGTGTCTCAAAGCCCCATACAGCCATCCAGGAGAACGTTCTCTCCATGTCAGCCTTACAACAATCTTGTGAGGTAGGTCAGGCTGAGAGTCAGGGACTGACTGGACGTCATCCAGTGAGCTCCGTGGCTGAGCAGGGGCTAGGACTGAGAGCTCCCAGGACTGGGTCCAACTCTAACCACTACACCTCCCTGGCTTTCTGCGCTAAGGCTGCCTCTGAACAGGTACCACACAGCTGTGCCTTGGGGGTGCACAGGTGAGGACCAGACCTCAGGGCAAAGTGGAGGGGATGGAAGGAGGAAGGATGGAAGGAGAAAGCGACCTTCCACACCCTCCTGGGAGCCTGTGAGTCATGGGGCCAGGAGAGGCCTGATGAGTAAGAGGCCGTGCAAAAATCAACCCTGCGAGGCAGGAACTCTGTGTTTCTCCGGGACATTCCTTGCCTCTGGCTTCTAGCCTGGAAGAGACGTGTCAACCTGGTTCACACGGCTCATCCATCCTGTGGGTTTGAGTGGGCTATCGCTAGCACGGTGGAGGGAGGGAGGGAGATCTTTGGAGCATCTTGAAAGCGCAGCCGAGGGTGACCTCTGTCATTTCTCGCACTTGGACTCTGGCGCCCAGAGAGGGAAAGATATCTGGGGGGCTTCCGCTTTGACTGCCAAAATAGCTTGGCTGGGCTTGGCAATATGGAACTGTGTGTGAGTACAGCAGCGGGAGGTGCTGTTCCATCTTGGGCCAGCCGGGCTCAGCATCCCGCACCACCTCAGTGGAGCAGGATGCAGCCCTTTACTTCAGGTATGAAGATGACAACCAAGACCCAGCTGGACCAGAGGCCAGTGGTCCACACAGAAACCCCAAACAGGGCAGAGATGCCGCATGTTCCCCAGCCATGGGTGTACAGAGGCACACTGCCTCCCATGCTAGAGGTAGCCTAGAGTCATGAGGACTAGTAACCTTGATTGTCCAAACCTCTGTTAAAGCCATCTGGACTGAGGGCCATCACTTTTCTTGTGGCAGTGAATTCCACAGTTTAACTAGGCATTGTGTGAAGACATCCTTATTTATTGATGTATTTATTAGCGTTATATCCCGCCTTTTCTTACAAAGAGCTCAAAGTGGCTGACATCATTCTCCTCCTGCCGCTCTCAATCTTCTCCCTGCAACAGCAACCCTGTGAGGGAGGCTGGGCTGAGAGGCTGTGCCTGGCCCAAAGTAACCCAGCTGGCTCCATGGCTGAGCGGGGACTCGAACCCAGGTCGTCTGAGTCCCAGTTGCACGCTCTGAACCATGGCCCCAAGCCGGCTCTCTTCCTTCCTTTGATCTGTCCTGAATCTCCCACCAAGCAACTTTACAGACGACCTCTTGGTGAGACAGGGAGAGAAACGCCCTCCTTCCTTCCTTCCTCTGCATCCTACAAAATTCTCTGCCACTCGATCTTTCTGCTGTCCCTTGTCTCTTTTCACAGCAAGCCCAACAGTTGGGATCTTTCCTTGCAGGGGCAGCCCTAGCAAAAAGAGATGCAGTCACGGCTCTGGCAGCTGCCCGGAGTCAGGTGCAAAGTCTCTGCCCCCCTGGAGAGCCCTGAAGGCCAGCACTGCCCTTAGATGCGTTTGGCTCCAGGCTGTATTTACGCAGCTCAGCAGCAGGCCTTCTCCTTCCCGGAGTGGGGGGGCTTCTCCTTCTCCGTATCTGTTTCACTTGCTCCAATAATCGTGATTGCAGTCAGGGCTAGCGATGCCCCGAGGAGGAGGTACGCCTCAGAAAACGGGTTCACTGTGGCACCTTCAGGATGCAAGCACTGCTTGGTCATGGATGGGTCTGTTTGTCCTGCATAAAGAACGGCATTAAGAGAAGCCTCTACTGCTAGCCAGCACAAATGCCGGCCAACGTGGAGCCCCGCAGAGCCGCCGGATCACGACCCCCATCTCCCTCGTGCAGCCCGAGACCAGGGCCGTAGTCAGCCGGTGAAGCGAGTTCCCGTAGGAAGGGGAGCTGAGCACTTGGGTGGCCCAGAACTGTCCTGCCATTGATGGGCCGGGCTCAGTGTGGGGACAAACCAGGTACACAACGGCCGGCAGAGGCCAGAAATGCAGCACTGACCCAGGAGCTGGGTCTGAGGGGGGGACCAGGTCAAGTGTGAGAGGCATCGTGGTGCAGTGCTTAAGAGCCCAGGGCTGGGACTCGGGCGGTCCAGGTTCGAGACCCCGCTTGGCCTTCGAGCCAACTGGGTGACTTTGGGCCAGCCCCAGACTCTTAGCATGACCTACCTCACAGGGTTGTAGTTCTGAGGATAAGACTGAGAGCAAGAGTTGAGGATAATGATGGAAGCCACTCCGAGTTCTTTCAATAAATAACAATAAATAAATTAATTAAAAAGCACAGCATCCGAACAAGCAGCATGGTTGGAAAAGCTGGGGTGCGGGTTACAGGGCAACGATTCCCAACTCTTGTTGCTGTTTTGGGCACAGTTAGATTGGAACAGGGGACTTACCCAACTGGAGCTCCCTCATCTCAACCCAGCGCTCTGCTGCTCTCCATCCTGGGTCCTCTGGCAAAGGTCCCGCTCACGAGGAGACCACTGATCATTTTCTGGGGGTGGGCACTCCATGCCCAGCCAGGATCTCGGCCTTTTGCTGCCGGCGTCCTGGACTATGGCCCAGGCGGGTCTCTTCCTGGAGCCTTGTTTTCTGAGGAGAAGCCTCCACAGAGGGGTGGGGCTGACAGGGGGTGAAGGGGGCCGCTGAGGCCAGAAGCCCCAAGGTCCCACTGGAAATGGTGGCTCTCCAGAAGAGTTGCCCTCATGGCCTCTGCTCCTGGTGAGCTTCCTCCGGGCCAAAGGTCCTTGCAGAGCTGTGGGGAGAACGGCTTCGGGGGAGCTCAGGGAGGAGGCTGCCCCCAAGTTGCTCACAGCTATGCACACTAACAACCCAATCCCACACCCGGCCCAGGGGTGAGCGGGTGGCCAGTGCAATTCTGTCAGCCAAGGAGCTGCTTGCTGGAAAGGCGTGGGTCCAGACACCAGCAGAGGCTGCTGCGTTCAGCACCACTCCAGCTTCCGGAGCAGTTGTGGGGCAGCCCCACACTGACCAGACCGCAGCAATCTGTTCTTGGGGTCGCCAGCACCTGTGCTGCTAGAGGCGAGATGCTCTGGGGTCCCACCTGTATCGGGGGGGGGGGGGGGGGGAATCCACCCGAGAAGAGCCTTCACAGCAGTGGCCCCTTTTCTGTGGAACTCCCCGCCTCTGGAGGCCGGGCAGGCACCAACAGAGCGTTGTTTCTGGGGCCTCATGAAAAACATTTGTATCGCAGGAAGTCTTGCTGGTGTAAACAGCCGCAGGTTTGTAGATACCTCACTTTTAATGCGTTGTTTCATTCTTATGTTGCTCAATGCTCTAGCATCGGTTTAGTTGTGGAGTGGCAGAGACATTCCCAAATTAATTAATGAGTTAATTAAGCAGAACATTGGAGCCAGTCAGAAAAATAAGCTCCCGTCCTTCTTCCTGTTCCTAGAAATTCCACCCAGTTGCAAGCAGGGCAAGTGGAACGTTTGGAGAGGAGATTTCCAGATAAGGGGCTTGCAAAGGTCTGCTTTTGGCAAGGAGGCATTGTAGCACCCCCCATGCCCTCCCCCCGGCTCTACTGCCTTTCGTTTGGGGAAATATATTTTGCCAAATGGGCATTCGGGAATAAAATGAGCGACGCAAAGGGTGCACAGATCCAGGCGAAGTGGCCAAAATGAAGTGAGTGGCCTCTGCCCTCTCCTCCCCATGGCAGCCTCCAAAGAAGCCCCTCCAGCCCTTGAAACTTACAACACATAGAAACATAGAAACAGAGTGAGGCAAAAGGGGTCTCCCGGGCCATCTAGTCTGACCCCCAGCTCCAGCCGGCTCCGCTCACGACATGCCCACCATGTGGACGTCCAGCCTATCCTTGAACACCCGCACCGATGGGGCCTCAACCACCTCCCGGGGAAGCCCATTCCACCCCCTTGGGGTCCCGACTGTCAGGAGGTGCTTCCTGGCATCCGAATGGAACCTGGGTTCCCTGAGCTTGGTCTCTGCCCACCTCCATGTGACACCCCCTCACAACACAGATGGTGCCAGACCGGGGGGGGGGGGGGGCTTGGCCCGTGGGGCTGGAGCGCAGCAGCTTGCCCTGAAGGGTGGCCACCCACTCAAAGGCTTGTGTTTGGCTACCCCATACAGTGCTTAGATTAACAGGGAGGGTGTCCTGAGTCTTGGCTGGTGTTGCTCTTTCCAGGTTCAGAGCAGGGCACCGAGCCAGGGGTCTGCATTACATGGGGGCGGGATGGGGCCCCCCAGAGAGAAATGCAAGCCAGGCTGTGGACGTGGCCACGTCCCGCTGACCTTCAGGTGGAGGGGGAGCGGTCCCCGTGGCTCCAGGGCCGGCACAGATCAGCGCGCCCGTCGAGGCGCGTGGGGGACGTGTGTCGGCGAGGGGCTCTCCTCCCTCGCTCTGGTTTCACCAGGCTTCCCGGAGAGTGGCAGGTCCCATCTGCTACGCAGCGCGCCGACCCGCCAGCTGCAGCGATAGTGCAGCGTGACGGGAGGCTGCGGGTGAGCCGCGGGGGGGCGGGAGGGGGGAGAACCCCAGGACGCCGCGGCGGCGCTGCCTTGGGGCGCCCCCTGCCGGCCGGACGCTCGCTTGGCGGGGAAGAAGGGGGCGCGAAGCGGTGCCCGGGTCGGCTGTACAGAGGGTGGCTTCCCGGGCTGGGCTGGGCAGGCGCCAGGTTTGCTGATGGGCTGCGCTTTGTGGGGGCAGCAGAAAAGAAAATCTGCTGAAGGTGGGGGAAAGGATGCGCGCTTTGGAGGGTCGTTTCGGGAGGCCTTGACCTGCACGTGGGTCAAGAAGCCACAGTGAGACCTGGCCATGGAACAACTGATTGCTGCAGAATTGGGAAAGGAGTACAGCAAGACCGTACACTGTCGCCCTGCCTATTTAACTTGTATGCAGAGCACATCAAGAGAAAGGCAGGCTAGATGAATCACAAGTCAGAATTAAGATTGCCTGGAGAAATATCAACAACCTCAGATATGCAGATGATACCACTCTCATGGCAGAAAGTGAAAAGGAACTAAAGAGCTTCTTGATGTGGGTGAGGACGAGAGCACAAAAGTTGGCTTGAAACTCAACATTAAGAAAACTAAGTTCATGGCATCTGGTCCTCTCACTTCCTGGCAAATAGATGGGGAAGAAATGGAGGTAGTGACAGATTTTCTTTTCCTGGGCTCCAAGATCGCCGCAAACGGGGACTGCAGCCAAGAAATTAAAAGATGCTTGCTCCTGGGGAGGAAAGCTATGGCAACTCTAGACAGCACACTAAAAAGCAGAGACATCACCCTGCCAACAAAAGTGCGTACAGTCAAGGCTATGGTTTTCCCAGTTGCAATGTATGGCTGTGAAAGCTGGACCATAAGGAAGGCTGAGCACCGAAGGATTGAGGCCTTTGAATTGTGGTGCTGGAGGAGATTCCTGCGAGTCCCTTGGACCGCAAGGCGATCAAACCGGTCAGTCCTGGAGGAGATCAGCCCTGGCTGCTCTTTAGAAGGCCAGATCCTGAAGATGAAACTCAACTAATGGCCACCTAATGAGAAGGAAGGACTCCCTGGAGAAGAGCCTGATGCTGGGAACAATTGAGGGCAAAAGGAGAAGGGGACGGCAGAGGATGAGGTGGCTGGATGGGGTCCCTGGGGTGGTGGGTGTGGGCTTGGGCGGACTCTGAGGGAAGGTGGAGGACAGGAGAACCTGAAGGAAAGTTGTCCATGGGATCGTGAAGGGCCAGGCGTGACTTAGCAACTAAACAAAACAAAAAATGTGAGGCGTTTTTGGGGGGCTGGCCCAGCCTCTCCTTGGGGCTCCAGCTGCTCAGTGTGGTGGCTGGGCAGGGCACCACAGCACCCCATGTTCCTTTGTCTCTCCCCCCCCCCCCCTTTTCCCTTCGGGGGGTGGGGGAGGGTCGTCAGGAGGTGGCCATGAGGAGGACTAGCAAGTTGAGGGGATTCTCATTAGCTGGCACCCTGCTTGGGGGTGGGGGGGCACCTTGCCCATGCTCCCGCCCCCAGGTCAATTCTACTGTGGGATCATTCCAGGAGTTAGCGCTGGTGCTGCAGAGCCACCCCCAGCTGTTTCCAAAGCACTTTGCACTTTGGGATGCTGATTCCAGCTAGAAATCAGCAACGATTTAACCGGGTTTGGATCTCTTTGAATCTGACTTGCAATTTCATAGCAGATCAGCTTTTCCTGAGTCGTGTGAATTCTACAGAGCTGCAGACCATTTTTTCCTTTTCCTGTCCCTAATCTGATCCAAATTTAGTTGCAGGGGAATAAAACAACAGCAATTAAAAACAACACTGGCTAAACATTGGGATTCCCCTCCATAAATGAAAGTGAGAAAATGCACGTGTGTAGGGGGGAAACTTGCCTATTTTGGAGGGATGTGTTCGGTGCAATCCGTGCGTTTTCAGACGTGCAAATTTGCACCAATGCATCGAAACACCTTGGTGCATTCACCAGACAAGGGGCTGAAAAGCTCCTGACAGTCTGCAAAGTGCAAATTCCCATCAGATCTGCTCTTGGCGTCCATGTTCCAGTGGCTGGTGGGCCGACGGCAAAAGGGGTGCAGCGAAAATCCCCCCCCCAGAAAGTCCTGGTCTATATTAGCTCAAAGTTCTTGTTTCCAGTGTACAACCTTCGGAGAGTCTTTCCGGGCTTTTAGAATTGGCTAAAAACTGCCGAGGAGCCAGGAAGGCCGGGTGACCGTCCCAGAGGGACAGATCCAGCCCCCCAGTGTGGGCTTCTGCACCTCGGTTCCCTAGCGGTGCCCATCGAAGGGCTGCGGTGCCTTATTTCCTACAAGAGCTTTTCGGGGACATGGCGAAAGACAGGCACCGTGGAGGGAAAAGATGGGCAGTAAATCCCCCACATGCACATGATGCTTCCAAAGCACCGGTGTGCATTTTCTGAAAGTCTTCTGCCCTCTGTTTGCAAGATATGCAAGTGGCCACACGCGGGGCAGTGGCGGTGGCAGGAGCAGCACCAATAATGATGATGATGTGTCTTACGAAGAATAAATCCATCTAACTATTTAGGCCAGTGCTGCCAACACAGGCAGGCAGCAGCTGCAGCTCTCCGGGCTTTCAGGAAGAAATTTTCCCAGCACAACTGGGAGATGCTGCTGGGAAGTGAACCTGGCAGCTTCTGTGTGCAAAGCAGGGGATTTACCACTGAACTCCGTTTCTTCCTCTCTTCCTGCTTCCCCTCTTTCTTCAGCAAACTGAAGGAAGATTCTAGTCCTCATGACTATGAATGAAGGGCTGATTGAACCAGGAACATTGGATGCTGCTTTAGACTGAGTCAAACCCATGTCCACCTAGGCCAGGGCTTCAGGCAGGGAGTTGTCCCAACCCCACCGGGAGAAGTTGGCAGGGACTGGACCAGAAGCTCATTCAAAAGCACCGTCTTTCTTCCTCCTCCACCATCATAAACATCAAGCAAAGACTCTCTTCCACCAGAGAGATCCCTTTACAATATATATATTGTATATTTTATTATAATTGAATCAGCTCACTGAATCTACAGCGTAACTCACGATCCAGAGGAAGAAAATTAGAGGGAGGGAGGGGGGTGAGAGAGACCGAGAGAGAGAGATTGTCTACAGAATCGTTTGTTCTGGTTTGCTACCTCTGGTTTGCAGAGATGAGGAAAGAACTCTAGGAAGACTGAATTTTCCCTGATGCAGCCAGCAGCTTCCTCTCTCCATCACAGGCTTGTTGGTTCTTTCCCTCCTCCGGGGCCACGAAAGGGAGGTGGGTATGAAGAGGCCAATGTTGCAACCCCCGTGACTTGCCTGGCACCAAACCATCGTTCGCCAGAGGCGAGCAGCTTTTGGAAAGCCAAGCAACACAATGGTGGCGATTGCACACACGAGTCAGCAGGAGAAAAAAGGATTTTTTCAAGTCTTTGGACTGAAGTCCTTGTTCACAAGCACTTACAAAAATGGGGAGGCCGGTAAAGACCAGGGAGAGGAATCAGGATACCTTTGCTGCAGCACAAAGTCGGAAAATTTAGGACCCCGGCTTTCCAGCTCGGATGGGACAAAGCCCGAAGCGGACCTCAGCCACTTCGTGACACACAAAGACCTCTGGTGGCCACTTTGTGACACACACCCTTTGCTTCACAGCCTTTCCCAATCTGGCCTTGCCAACTACATCGTGGGCGTAAATATTTGTGGTTGCAAATGCCCCGGGGAAGAATTGTCTGAACTTGGTGTCCTCAACGGAGACTCCGCCTCCAGAATTTTAGATGTGCCTTCAGATTTGGAAGCAAATGACCAGAGAACCACCATTTTGCTTTTATTAAGCCAGTTGGTAAATGTTGCCACCCAGCAGAACTTCCTGGTGCTGTTCCCTCCTTCCATCTTGCACTTCTCCTGTCAAAGGTATGTATTTCCCAAGCTGCTAGTCCTCATGACAAACATTTTTATTGTGGGCATCTATATGTTGCCCTCGAGAGAAAGAGATTGGGCCACTGACAGAATTGTGGAAGTTTTGTGGGTCCCCAAAGATGCCTCGGGGCCCAGTCTTTATCTCCCCGCCACACCCACAACCCCTTGTAGCGATTACAGCACAAGGAGGGACGCCGTATCCTGGCCCTGGCATTGGCTGGGGGTGCAAACTAAGTGCACTGCACCCCCAACTTCACTTGGGGAGGGTTCCCCGATAGACCTGCTGGGATGCCATGAATGGAAGCCATTATCCTCATCCCTGCTCTGGCAAGTTTGGACCTTTGGACACCAGGGGAAACTTCCCAGTTGTGCTGTCTGGCTGTGGAGAAAGATTATCTTTGCCTGGGGAATTTTGGCCTTGAATACAAGGCAAACAGTCCAGTTGTGCCACCTGCTTGCACAGGGATGGGCCAAGTTACATTAGTGCATGCTGCAGAACGACACCTCTCTCTCTCTCTCTCCCTCGCTCTCTCTCTCTCATTCTCCGTTTCTTTGCAGCAGATACATGAATTGGCAACCCGAACCCTCGGTAGACCACGAATCTAGATTTCTGCTCCTCTCAAGTGCTGCCTTGTACCAAGCCATGTGAATGCTCATGTGGACTAGGGCCTTTGAAGCCCCAACAGCCATGAACCCGGGTCCACTCCACTACGTGATTATCCTGCACTCTGGCTTGCAATGGTCCCCACAGCGTGGGCTGACACAGGCCTCTCCCTTCACCTGCAGCAGGATCCCTTTGAGTCCTTCTAGACTTTTGCACCTGGTGGGGGCAGGACAGGTTGAGTGACGGGGATGGTCCTTGGAGTCCCAGCAAACGAGCCATGATCTATTCCATGAAAACAGTTCGGTTAAGACACCTCTCGTGCAAGATCCGTTTTACATTCCAGTTTTGCGGCAAGCTCCACTCCTCACCCCCAGCTCTTCCCAGCTTTCATTCAGGGTTTCCTTCTTATCCACATCCCATAATTGTGTGCCCTCCCCATCCCCCCCTTTCTACCCCCACCCCCAATAAATTAAACATGAGCTTCTCCAGCTGATGCTGGAACCAAAATAAATGCATGGAATAAATAAAGGGAAAAAATGATTCCCAAGGAAGAAGCGTTATCCATGAGCTGCTTGTTCAGGAAGAAAACCAAGAGGCCCTTTCCCTCAGCTCCCTTTCCTCCTGTCCAGAGTTCTCCAGTGCTGTGGACCTTTGTTCACTGGCTCTGCGCATCTCCCTGAGCCCCAGAGACGGTTTCCCCCGGAGACCCCCCTTGCGCTCGGGTCCGTAGAAACCAGACGGTGTTCATCGTCATTTGGAAGAAGCGTCCCTGTGCCTCTTCTCTGGGCGGTGGCCTGGTCTCCGGAGCATCGCAGGGGGGAACCTCGCAGCTGCCCTTCGGCAGCCAGGGAAGAGCCCGCCCGCCGGCGCCTCCGCCCAGGCGCTTCACCTGGGTGCTGCGCTCTGAACAGGTGGCTCGGCCGTCTCTGCTCCTGGGCCTCCCCGGCTGAGTGAGCAGGCGCTCCTCACAGGCATGCCCGGCGCCAGGGAGGGGCGGGGAGGGGGCAGAGGCTGCGCTGGGCAAGGCTTCAGCGGGACGGGGCAGTCCGGCGCGGAGCCCAGCGCTCAAAACCCGGCGCTCTCCGAGCTGCTCCGGCTGCTGTAGCTGGGGCTGCGAGTCCGGCTCTCGCTGCGGCTGTAGCTGTCGTAGCTGCGGCTCCGGCTCCGGCTGCGGCTGTACGAGTAGCTGGTCAGCGAGCTGGAAGAGGATGGGCTGGGCCGGTAGTACGGGATCGGGCGCTTGCGGGCGCTGGAAGCAGAAGAGACAGCCCGTGAGTGGCCGGAGCTGGCGGGGGGGGGGGGCGCTGGGCTCGGCACGGAGGGGGGAGCAGCAAGGCTGGGGCACGTGGAAAGAGAGTGCGCCGGGCGGGCGGGCGGGCTCATGAGAGGGTCCCGTTCCAAACCCAAGTGGTCACTGTTGACAGAGGCAGAAGGCCTCATTCTGAAGGGTGCTGGGTAGGATGAAAAGCAATCACCCCTGTCGCAATGTCCAAGATTTCCCCCATGTCCAAAACGGGGCCTCTTTCTAGCACAGGAATGCTGTGCATCATGCAGAAAACGAAATTAAGCTTTTTTTGGGGGGGGGGACATCTACAGACTTTATTCTGTCATCTTTTCTCTTTTCTCTGTTTTACTATAGTTTGAGAGTGATGCAGGGCAATGAAGCTCTGCAGTGGGTAACTTATTTGCTGCCCTTCTTTCTTGCCTTTTCAGCATGGCATGCCCAACTTTTCCTCCACAAGGACTAGCGATTTCCTTTTGAAAAAGGAAGGAAAAGGGAGGAAATGCAGATTCTCTGGCAACCCAGTTGCATGCCTGATGCAACATTTACTTATTTATTTTCTGATTTATATCCTGCCTTTTTCCTACAAAGGGCTCAAGGCAGCTTCCATCATTCTCCTCCTCCATCTTATCCCCACAACAACAGCCCTGTGAGGTAGGCTGGCCTGAGAGTCTGTGAGTGGCCCAAAGTCACCCAGTGGGCTGAGCGGGGACTAGGACCTGGCTCACCTGGGCTCTGAACCACGGCACCGCACGGGCTCTCCACAGACCGCACTTTCCCCTGCATGTGGAGACTCGCAACATGCAGGCAGACACAGGGTGGATCACGGAGGCCAATTCCAGAGGAGATGCACACGGCCTGATCATGCCTGGTGCTGTCTGGCTGGTGCCCGTGATGCCGTAAGCTGTGCCTACTGGGCAGTATATATATGCCATTACTATACCACCACTACTGTTTCTACTATTATGGACACTACCAGGAGATCCCAAGAAGTGTGGGATGCTTCTTTTAAAAAAAGGACCCTTTGAATCAAAACAAACAAACAAACTTCGGAACCTGACAAATGGATGGATAAAACTAATTTACAATTTATAATATGCGTGTCAAGCCAAACAGCTTGGGCAATGCGGACAGTGGCCAGGCCTTTTTCCTGTCTACAAGTGCAAAGGACTGGGGCCTTTTGGGGGGGGGGGTTGTGTGTGCCGCGATCTCAGATGTTGGTGTCCCAAAAATCTTGATTTGCAAAGATAAGGCAAGCCAAAAATCCACTCCACATATGCAGCAGCCGTCTCGTGCCTTTGAAATTCTGGTGCAAAATTGCTTTTTGCTCTACCTGAATAGGTGGGAATAGAGTCAGGTGTGAAGACCTGCAAATCTACTGACCTGGGAGGGCCCTTTCCCCCAGAGGTGCCTGTTTTGTTGGGCCTGGGCTGCTATAACCCCTTCCAAACCCCATCCCTTGCCACCAGATCCCCCTCAGTGCCAAAGCCACGCGATCCGGTCGTTAGCCCTGGATTAGCCAGCTAAAACCACAGAGTGTGAAATGGTTAATCGCGCTTGTTTTCTGCTCAAGACACCTGATTAAAGCTGGAAGGAAAGAGAGGTGAGGTGTTAGTGAGAAGGTTAATCAGGTTTCGAGCAGCTTTCTCCAAACAGCACCCTCCTGATGGGGTTGATTCCAACGCCCATTACCCCCAGCTGCTGGAAGGTGCAGAGTTGGGAGATGCTGCGTGGGGGTCCATTTCTCCCAACTGCAACTGAAGCTGGTTAGATCCCGCAGGCCGGCAGTTACACTGGGGGTGCCCAACTTCAGGGCAGAGGGTCAAATGCAGCCCTCGAGGGCCCACTCTGGCCCTCTGTGGTTCCCCAGAGGCCATGCCGCGTTTGGGGGGCCCCACCCCCTTTCCGCCAGGTCACTCAGAAACCCCAGGTCTGCACTGGGTTGTGGTTTTGTGGTCAACATACCCACTCGGGGGGGGGGGTCACCCTGAACTTTGTTTAATTTTTGTATTTAGCGGATTTCTACCCCGCCTTTTTTCTTACAGCAAACACAGTGTGGCTTCCATCGCTCTCCTCCTGCTGCTGTCAAGCTGCTCTCCATAACAACAACCCTGAGAGGTAGGCTGGGCTGAGAGGCCTGTGACTGGCCTGAAGTCACTCCGTTGGCTCCATGGCTGAGCGGGGACTCGAACCGAGTCCCAGTCGCATGCTCTTAACCACACCACCACTCTGGCTCTCTAACCTTTAAAAGACAACCCATGATGCCTAACCTGGTCTGGGGATTTTTTACTTTATTATTACTGATTTAATAATCGATTTAATTTCACTCCCGTCCAACAGCAGAGCTCTCTGGGCAGTTTATGACATGCGAAGTTTGGCAACATGGAGAGTGCCTTGAAAAGACTCGCCTGAACCCAGGACTGGGTGCGTGGCTTCTCTGATCTCGTAGTCACACGCATCCACCGCCTCAGGCCGCACTGAGCCTTTCAGGGTCCACTCTTTGGAGCCCCTGTTTATCTCCCCGTTCTCAGGGTCAGTTCTCGGGGTCAGAGCTCTCCAAGGAACATGTGAGCCGGCCCGCCAGGCACCCTGAGGATCACTGCTAAAGTGAGTCTCCGTGATACTTCAGCAGGGGCCACTTGCTGCAATGTCTACAGGATGGAACCGATTTTGGGATAGGGTTCAGCACCACGGAGAGATCCCAAAGGGTCAGGCTGCACACTGGAGTGGATACACGGCCCCACTGCCGTTCACGCCACTAGCTTCTGCCTTGACTACTTCTCCTGTTCTCAGCGGGGGGTGGGGGGAGGGCTGATTTGTGGCTTGCCCCTTCCTTGGGGTTTGTGCCAGACACCAGTTGCTTCAGAGAGCAAAATTCACACTGCACATGCTCAGATGCATTCCCTGCAGGTGCTCAGCCATGGCAGGGTAAGGGGCTAAAATTCAGTCAGCCCCATGGAATCGGGCTCACATCCCCCCCACCCGTGCCCCATAATAATGCGTCGTCTAGCACGGGAAACACTCCTTAATGCTGGGGCTTGGTTCTCCTGCCTCTGCCATCGAGGCTGAGTACCTTTAAGGTTCGGGATGAAACCTGGAGTGGGTACCCTGCCCCACCATCCACCGGATGTGATACGGCAGGAGGAACCACGCATGCAGCGGAAGGGCCAGTGTTGGGAAGGTTCAGGGAAGACAAGCTCAGCTGGGACCCCATCCCTGCCGCTAGGAACCAAACGCAGCCAGGCCACTGAACCCCCAGAGAAGCGCAGCGGCCCCCCCGGTTAGTCTGACTGAAGCAGAGAGAGAAAGAGAGAGGAGCTGAGAAGAGAAGGCCTCACGGGCGGACGCAGGCGGGTCCTGATGGAAGGGGAGGTTACCATGGTAACCCAGCCCTGGGCTACGGGCACCAAGCGATGTTTCTCCAGGAGGAACCTTGAGACAGGATGGAAAAGGAGAGAGTTGCATCATTAACGAGGGGGGGGGAAGTGTGGGGGGGGGAGGTTCCAGCCCATCCGCTGAATGGAGAACTCGGGTTTGTGGGAGCAGCTGAGCGCCTCCCTGGCATCCAAGAGAGGGAGCAGCCGTCTCTCACTCTTTCCCGCCAATATGGACGCAGGTGGCTAAGAGCTGAGCAGTTCGAAGACGAGCTCTGCCATGTTTTGGGACTGTCCCAGGAACACAGGCATGCCTAGGTTTCTGCACGTAAGCAAGAGCTCTGGCCAGGTGTCACAAGGAGTCAAGGCTCTGGGGGAGCCTAGAAGAGAGAGAGGACATGGCTCTCCTGTGTCTTTCCCAACCTGCTACCCTTTCAGGTGTGCTGCACTACAACTCCCATCATCCCCAGCTGAGGATGATGGGCCTGAGTGCCGAATTTTGTTCAGGTGAGTCACAATAGAAGATCCTTCAACTGCTAGGTGTTAGGACCAAATTCTCTGGCACCCAAGAGGAAAGGTTTGCAGTAGTTTGAGTGACTCGTGTGGGTGTCCTTCAAGGTTCATGGATGGGGTCGAGTTCTACCCCTGTTTAAAAATGGCTTTTCGCCTCATCTGCTCCGTGGGCCAGGAAGGGCAAACTGAGTCCCTAATATTTACCTGGTTATTCGCCTGGGCTCCATAAAGCTGGGAGAATCGCGCCTTCTTTTTCGGATGGGGGAGTAGCTGCGGGAGCGGCGACGGGCACGGGTCGCATCCGTGTCGTTGTGACGTGTCCGTGCCTCATTGTCTTTCTCTCTAGATGAAGAAAAGAAACCAGAACAGCTGCAGCAGCTCAAGCTTCATTCCCATGTGTGGATGAGGAATTTCTTCTCATCTGGGGCAGCAAAAGATCTGCTGACCACTGACGCACAGAGCCAAATTCTCCGGGCGTCGTGAAGCTGGGTTCCGTCCCATCTGCTGGGAGAAGGCTCAGCTGGGGCTAGGAAAACTACTGGTTTAGCTTTCTCCTCTGTTCACTGAAAAAAACCCTCAAGTTCATGGTGTCCCAAATGTGAAGGAATTTCTGAATTTGGAGAGCTTTATAGCAAATCTGGAGGGGAGAGGAATGGCAATTAGAAGAACCTTCTCAGTGGCCGGCCCCTATTTATAGAACAAGTTCCCCAGAGGATTTCACCTCTTCTTGCTCCCTTTTTGGCACCATGTGAAGACATTTAGAAAGGGTCCAGCGGAGGGCGAAAAAAATGATCTGGGGTTTGGAAAGACTGCCCCGTGAGGAGAGACTGATGGAACTGGGCATGTCCAGCCTTGAGAAGAGAAGTCCGAGGGGGGACATGGTATCCCTCTAGAAGTACCTCAAAGGCTGCCACAAAGAGGAAGGCCAAGATCTCCTCTTGCTGGTGTCAGAGTGCAGGACACGGAAGAATCAATTTAAGCTGTGGCAACCCAGATTCAGGCTGGACATCAGGAGAAGCTTCCTCATAGTCAGAGCAATAGGACAGTGGAACCAGCTACCTGGAGAGGTGGGGGGCTCTCCCACACTATGGGTATTCAAGGTGAAACTGGGCAGCCCTCTGAGTGGGATGGTGTGACTTGGTGTCCTGGAACAGCAGGGGGGTGGACTTGATGGCCTTCATGGCCCCTTCCAACTCTACTATTTATTTATTTATTTGGGATATTTCCAACCCATCCAAACACTGCATCTCTGGACGGCTTACTGTTCTATGATTTCATCAATTTTTATAATTGATGTTACATTTCTTTTAAGATGTTGTTGTATATGGCAGCCCTCTTGCTTGATACAGCTTTATATGACAATTCTTACATTGTTGCTGTTTTGTATATCTTTGGTTTTATTGTTCTATTGTTTTACGGTTTGTCTGATTACCTGTCATGAGCCGCTTAGAGATTCCTGTTGCAATAGCTGGCTGCATACAAATGCTAACATAAATAAGCAAACTGAGCTGAATTGGACTTCTCATGCACGCAGCCGGTCCTACTTCAGTGACTTCAGCTGGGAACACTTTGAACACACCTGGAAGGGACTGTTAAAATGAGATTGCCAGAAAAAGGACCGGGGCAGCCATAATCTAGGCCTTCAAGGATGCCTCAATAAACAGGGATTCAAATCCAGACTTGAATTCCTGAGAAATTTCCACTGGATCACAACCACCATGGATGTCCCAGGTTAGACCTGACACTGGATCCTTACATGTGTTTTTAAGTTACTCACTTTGAGGATAATTGTCAAAGAATTGCATGATTTTGTGTGTCACTCTTTTAAACTATTGATTTTCAAAAGTGTTCACAATGCCAAAGCTTCAACATAGCTGTCTTTGTTACTGAGATGCCATTAAACAGGGTGCAGAATCTCATTTGGCCCAGGGGCCAAATTCCGTCTTGGAGAGGGTGTGGGGTGGGTGGGGCTTAAGGGAAAGTGGGTGGGGCCAGAAAGCCAGCCCACATATGCTGAAACTTTTGCCTGCCACTAATGCAGCCTTCGGAGAGCCATTTGACCCTTTCCAAAACTGAACAAAAGGCAGGGGCCCCTGGAATGATGTGTGGGTGGAAGGGGGCGTGGCCAAGAGAAGGGGGTGTGGCCAGTTTGCGGACCTTAGGAGGGCCGGACATCTGAATTTCTGCACCCCTGCGGTAGAAAGTTTGAGGCAGCTCACAGTCTTATGAATAGAAGGAGATGCAGAAAAACAGTGGCCCTTTATTACTTACGGTTATTTAGACTCACGACGCACTAGAGTCGTCTTGCATGGGGGAGAAAGGGGAAACATACAAGGTCCAGAATTTGCCCTCCGCTCACCCTTCGGCTCCCCAAAGGAAAAGCACTGCTGTTCCTGCTAGGAGGCGGGATGGGGGTGCGTTACCTGCTCCCTGTGTTCTTTTTCTGGGACCCAGAGCGAGTCCTGCTGCGTGCAAACCTCTTCTCCCGGGACCGGGATCGCGATCTGGACGGGGACCAGCTGGTGCTCCAGGAAGTGCTGCGTGACAGACTCTTCCTCCGCTCCGAGTTGTGCCTGGAGTGCTTGGCTGGGGCCGGGGAGCAGCTGTGGGGCCTCCCCCGATGGTGCCTCTCTTTTCCTCTGCAAGAAGCAGTGGGACACAACCGGGGCTCAGACCTGGAGCGATCGAGTGAGCGGCCGAGCAAGGGAGGGGCCCCGAGGAGCTCAGAGGCAGGGATGGACAGCCTGGCTCACTCTGGGTTTCCTTCCGTCTCCCTTTTCTCTAGCCTTACGTTCTCAATTCTCCACAAAGTTTGAAAAAGGAAGGGGGGAATCATACACGTTTGCATGCATTTCTCTTCATGCATGTATTTTTTCTGCACCATTTGGACCCATTATATGCATTTTTGTAAGCAATTTCCCCGTGTCATGCATAGTTTAGCACTATTTCCATCAATATGCTCATCTTTGCCCACACGTTCCCCTCATCTGTGCATCCTTGCATGCATTTTTCAATCGAAAAACTCCCCCAAGCAATAGCAGCATATGGATATGCAGAGCACAGCCTGGCAGCAGACCCAGGCCCTGGAAACTTCCAGACTGGATTACTGTAATGTGCTCTACGTGGGGCAGCCCTTGAAGACGGTCCGGATACTTCAGGTGGTCCAGAACAGAGCAGCCGGGATGTTGACGGGGACCGGCAGACAGGCATGAATAATGAATGCCGGTTCTTTGCCATCTACACTGACTGCCAACTGAAGTCCAGGCCCAATTTAAGCTGCTGCTGCTGATCTATAAAGCCCCAAACATCTTAGGATCCAGATATATAAAGAAGAATATCCTTTCCTATATAACCTCCTGCCCCTTAAGATCTGGCTGGAGGGTGGCTACCTGGAGAAGGGCCTTCTCTGCATTGGCGCCCAATCTATGCAATGCGCTCCCCAGAGAGGTCCGCCTGGTGCCAACACGCTATTCTTTTTGGTGCCGGGCGAGCTCCTCTTTATTTTCTCAGTATTTAAGGCTCAGACGGTGATTTTCAGTGGGGTTTCATGCATAGACGGGATGCTGCACTCCACCTGGTTCTACTGCAAGACTGCCAAGAACACACGGGGAGGCCCGCATTCCCACGTTTCGAGAGAGATAAACAGAATGCTGGAAACAGGGCGAGCGAGAGGGGCCCCTGGGCCATGCAGTCCGAGCCCGAGCCCGGCCCCGGGGTGCAACAGAGACCCGCCCCCGCCCCAAGGGGGCAGCCCTCCTCCCGCGAGCCCTGGCCGGGGCCGCGCGCCCGAGCGGGGCGGTGCTCACGTTTTCGGGTGCGCGGCGTGGCCCTTCTCCTTCTCCTTCTCCTTGTCCGCGGCCGCCGGCCCCGGCCCCGGCCCCGGCCCCGGCGCGGCGGCGCGGCGCGCGGGCGAGCGGGCGG